GAAGACATCTCGTTTACTCGCGTCCTGCTCGGCGTCGTTCAGAAAATAGCGGGCTACTGAATGGTTTGGTCTGACAGGGCGGGGAAGGGAAATCGTCGCTTGGCCCTGGAACACTGATCGTGTTGCTGTCAGGCAGAGAGAGATACTTATGCGAACAGGAACAGGAAAGATTGTTGGTGGGCGAACAAAGTCTATTGTGACACTCATTAAAACTGGGGGGTCTCTGGATTTGACTCGTAGCTCCGGCTAGTAAGGATCATAGAGACACACTTGAGTGGTGGCTTACACCAGGAGGATGACGATGTTCAGAGACCATCGCTTTCGCGGGCGACTCTTGTGCACCTTAATTCCGACCTGTCTTGGTTCCGAATGATCCTAGACCGTGGCTCCTTGAACGCTAATTTCATGCCGGCCTGTCAGATTTCATGCTAGGGTCCTGTCGGCTGTCCGCCTTTTATTTGTGACCGCGCGGATAAGGCAGAGGCGCACTCCGTTCTTCCGTACCTCTCACTCAGCTGAACGCCCGCCGGGGTTTGGTCCTCCTGGCTCTTTCCTGGTCCTTATGTTCCCGCTCTCCACTATTGGTGCAGGGGGGCTATAGTGGAGGTCGCAACAACAGCCAGACCAAATGGATGATGATGCGATAACGGACGTTGCACCAGAATATCCTTGTGACCTATCACCCCATCCAAAACAGAAAGAAAATAATCTACTCCGTACCGCGCGCGAGTGATCAATTGAGCAACCAAAGTCTCTCGCCACGCTCCTCGGTATTTCGGTACACAGCGATGTACCGGACAGAAGGCTCCAGACGTGTCCTGGCTGCCTAGGCTTGTGTGATATGGCTAAAGCAAATGCAGGCTCGTTGAGGCGGGAATTATTGGGGGACCTAAAGGGGCGAGGGAAGACAACCCCCTCTCAGGCAGTTGGGGGATCTTGCAGGGATCGGCGGTTTTAGCGTCGTGCGACAGGCTCGAAAAGCGGTGGTGATGCTTCGCTTTCCGGTTGGTGCGATCGGGGCTGGGGATGGACAGCAGCTGCATGGTCAGTCGAAAATGCAATACTATGGGGTAGGAGAGTTGCCCAGTATCCCTGCTGGACGACTCTAAGATATTTCCATCTGATGCGTCTAAGCCGGTTCATCAACAAACGGCGTAGAGCTTCGCAGAGGCAAGACTAAGAAGCGACAGAAACCTTGTCAGCAAGCGATCCAGCGCCTTTGGCCACGCAGACTAGTCCTAGTGCCGCGCTTATGTATGTCTTGCGCGAAGAGAAAAAGAAAAAAGGCACCACGAAGAAGTGGAACAAAAAAAGAAGCAAAGAAAAAGGCGGACCAGATAATCACCAAAACAGCAAGGGTATAAAATGAACCAGACAACTAACACACTGTAACTACTGATGTCCCTCCTTGCAGAGATTCTTGAACTCTTCACGCAATCGATCGTCATGGGAAACGTTTTTCTTGCTTATGACAGACCGTCCAGCATTTCCCTTTCCCTTCCACGGGATACTGGCAGGGAGAGAATAGAGCGCACTATAACATCTCGCTTATAGTCTTTTCCTGATGTTTGATTCGTGGTTTCCTTCGGCCGGAATAGCCAGCAATTTCGGACTTTCCTCATCCCTGTCACTGAAGGTCTTCGGAAAAGGAATCGAACCAATGTTTAATGCATGCATAGGATGATATGATCGGAAAAGGAGTCGAGGGGCAGGTGGGTTGACAGAGCGGGAAAGAGACGAGGATGAGATAATTGAAGTCACCTGCTCTCGCCGTCTCTTTCCACTTCCTTCTTTTCTACTATACTCTCTCCGTCTCCGCCATCCGGAATACGACGCGCGCAGTAATCAGAAACCGAAAAGATAGCCACTTACGAATTCGTGAGCGTTATATCTTGACGTAGTCAGAGCTGTATACCAGACTCGAAATCGTATTATGATATCTCCATACTGCGGTTATCCCTCATGCCCTTCTGATCACCGATCCTGACCATTTACGGATAACGGCAAAGAGGACAGTCGGAACTAACGAGATACAAGTACAGTAGCTCTGATTCTTTTCTCTTTCAAGGAGAGGTTCAGAGCGAAATTTATGTTAACAACATAGATACTTAGCAGGTAACCATCCTGCTACCGGCCGACGGTCTCAGTGCCGAGAAACATTGAAAGTAATAGTTTCAAGATATACAATCTAACTCTCATAATACTCTATACTATGAGACCGTATAAACTCGACACTATTTTGCGAGGTGCCAGGGCACTCTCAAAAGGCTTTCAACAGTCAGACCTGTCCTCTCTGAATCCTTCCATGCGGGAATGGTGAAGACGGCAGGAAGTAAGATTCGTGCCGACAGTCATGTCTAGTCATCTCCAGGACACATGAACCACTCACCTACTTCTCGCTTTTCCCCTTATTTATACCTGACAAAACTTAAGTAATCAAGGAGGAATCTGGAGGGAGTAGGAAGGGAGAACCTGGCAAGGAAAATAGCACGAATCCGGGGATGGCATGATCGCAACCGAGCAGCTGGCTAAACGCCCTTTTGTCGACAAACAAAGAAATCTCCTGAGCTCTTTCGAACTTCGTCATCCATCCCGGTTACTACCGATTCGTTTCCTCCAATTACCCGACCAGATTCAGTCTGGACAACCCACCAGGCCTTCTTTGGAATTGCTTGCTTATATCATCATTACCTTCCATGTGAATATGCTCTGATTGTTTCAGTCATCTTGCTCCCACATGAGTCGCCATAGCAAGTACATCGAGTCAATGGCTTTGGAGTCATGATAGTTGGGTGCCGGCAGAGTGATGCCGTCGCCTTCAATCTTGTCCACTCGGCTATTCAAAGAGTTTGTATTGGTCGACTTAAGTGAGGTTCTCTCTGTTGAAGGATAAGAATTATCATGAATATTATAGGCTGATCACAAAGTATCGAAATAGATTCTGCATAGAGTCACTTTATCTAGCCCAGAGACAAGTAACGGTGGTGACCTACAGCTGGCTTGGTCGTCTCCAGTCATCGCCTCTCGGGAAACCTTTCCAGAGCCTCGGTCTGAATAATGTTCGGTCATCGAGAAAGGCTATATCACCCCAGGAGTGGATATATTATCTACGGTAGACCCACGGAAACCACTGTCTGACGGGGACTTACCAGACCACGAAATAAGGACGCCAGATTGCCAACCTCGCTACGGACATGCAATATGTGAATATCAGCCATTATCACTTCCCTACAATCACAGCTTAGCCTTTGATTCTTCATCATCATATCTGATTGCGAAGCTGTAGGCTGGGTCATAATGCATCGCCCAATACCTGTCCCAGATCTTCTTGGTGATCGGACCAATCTGTCCCCCATTCACAGGCTTGCCATCCAACTCAGTGGTGGGCATGATTCCACCCGCTGTTGTGCACATGAAAATTTCATCACACTGATATACCAACTCGACTGGCACAGCCTCGAGGTGAACTTGGATTTCACACGCTCGTGCAACATCAATGACACTTGTCCTGGTGACACCATGTAGCACACCGCGATCAGGCGTATAGATCGCACCGTCCTTGATCAGAACAATATTATAACCGGATCCCTCCGTGAGATGGCCGTCTCCGTCCGTCAAGAACGGGTACATGGAACCACGATCCGCAGCCTCGAGCATACCTCGAGTCAAGTCACCCCATTGTAAGTTCTTCACGGTAGGGTCGATAGCCCCTGGGGGCACCCGACGAACAGTTCGCGTAATAACAGCACTTCCACCGACCCGTTGGACCTCTGGATCCATGACCCAGACATAGGGTTGCACAAACATGTATAGGTTGTTTACTAAATCCTCCGGCTTGACACCGCGAACGCTCTGCAGTCCCCGCGTCACAATCAGAGCCACATAAGCGTCCCGAATACCGCTTTGAGCGACCATCCTAACCAGGGATTTCTTCACTTCATCGCGAGATAGAGGCAACTTGAGACGCGATTTGGCGCAGGCCAAACCGAGTCGGGAGAGGTGGTCATCTAGGCGGAAGAACCGGCCGTCCCAGACAGAGATAACATCATAGGTTAGATCACTGCGCAGAAAGCCTTGGTCGATTAGGGGGATGCGGGCCTCCCTGAGGGGAACAAGTTGTCCTTCAACCCAGGCGATGCCCTTGGCGTAGGGATTTTTACTGGCTTCTAGTGTCGCTCGACGAATGGCATATCCAGTAAGAACTTGGTTCATGGATGCCATGATGCAGTAGACTGAAGTATCAAGACTTATAGTAGAACGAGTGGTCGGGTTTCGTCTTGATGATGGCCGAGAAGTGAGGGACACCCCAGGGGGGACGCTAGGTGGCTAAGAAGGATGGAGTCGAGAGTGACGTGTCTCCAAGGCAGGCTACCACGTTAAGTCAGATCGGAGAAGTGTACCTATGAGGGTGCATAATGCTGTCGGTGGGACACCGATAAGGAGCAAAGCCAGCATCCTTGCTTACCGGGCGCTCGAACAAGGCTACCATCGAGCGGGGAATACCATCCCGGGAGTTCGGGACCGTTGGCCTGCTGTCACTCACTTACTCCTCGGTTCCTTTGCATACGCATATTTCCCGGTACTATAGTGATGTGGACTATGACCCCTGCGGCTAGAATGTTACAAGGTTCAAGGGGTATCATATCTCATATTCATTAAGTTGTTAAGAGAGACTTATATTTTCTGTCACCAAAGTCCACTGTCTATTGCTAAGGAGCCAACAAACACAAGACACACGCCTTCATCCGCCCCTTCGATCGGTTTCCCATATAGACATATGACTATAGGCTTCGGAGGATAAGAGCGTTCCCCTTCCCCTTCCCTATTTCCCTCTGCTTCTCATTCCAAATTGTATCCTCTGGAATATGATACAGCAATCGTTAAGATTGGCTCATGCTACGCGCCAACTACCCCCTTTCTTCCGTTCGACAACAACAGGACTCGTTAGAAAACACACATTCCGCGTGGAGGATAGGGCATTCTATTCGCACTCAACGGCTATGAGGAACGCCCGGGGAGATTTGCGCATGTATCATACACCGACGTCTTACGATCACTCGACACCAACAGATATTGGACGCCATAATCGCAATGGTGTGCTCCTAGATATCGATCCACATAATTACACTAGTGGGCACTGGCTTCGGAATGACGAGGAGGAGCGAGCCTCTCGCTACATTCAATTCGATTTTGATGCCCTCTGTCGCAAAGTCCTTACTCTATCGCCAGGTGCACGTACCATCACGAGATGTCAAAAATTGGAAGGTGGTTTCAACCGGGTCTTCATTTTCGAACTGGACAACGACAAACGAGTGGTTGCAAGACTTCCGTTTTCGCTGGCTGGTCCGGCACAGCTGACTACCAGTTCTGAGATCGCAACGATCGAATATCGTAAGTTCCTCTCATCATTCTTTCGCTTCACTGGCTTATGGTGCACTCTGCTCTTCAGTGCAAGCCAATACTACCGTTCCTATACCCAAGATACTCGACTGGAGCAACGATGCCACGAGCATCGATAATCCCATTGGCAGCGAATACATCATCATGGAGCATGCAACTGGTGTTCAGTTGCACAAGAAGTGGCATGAAATGGACGGTAAAAAACGTATCAAGTGTATAGACGCAATCTACCGGAAGCTTAAAGAAGTGGTTGACCTACAGTTTCCGTGCTTTGGGAGTCTGTATTCTATACACAGTCCCGTAAGCCCCGACAACAAGCGTGTGCTTGACGGAGAATTCTGTATTGGACCACATTGTGGAACCAGATACTGGAATTGTGACGTTGGAAGAGGCCAAGCTTCACACGATACAAAACCCAACCGGGGGCCCTGTGGGTTATCAAAATCAACCCCACGGCTTCAGTATTGGCTAACCAATAACGGCTAGGGAATGACCTTTATGAATACTGCGATGGCCTTATTGATGCTGGTCTATCGAAGCTTCCGGCTGTGGACTCGGAAACGAAACGACGACCGATGTATCATGGCTCAGTCGAAACACACAAGATGCTTCTAGCTCAGACGCGAGACCTGATGAGATGCATGTCTCAGGATTCCCGGATAATGGACTGTGCGACACCAGTATAGTTTCACCCAGACCTTCACAAGAGGAACATATTTGTGTCAGAGGATGATCCTTCTGAGATAACGGCTATCATTGACTGGCAGGCCGCTAGCATTGAGCCGGCGTTTTGGTATGCGGATGAGATTCCCGACTTTGCAACGGAGAACGAGGTCTGCACTAGAGCATTTGATGTCTGCACCCAATTTCTTATACCCATGCTCTCAAAGCCGAGATTAATGGACCAAAATCTATCCCGACCGTTTCGCTACAGCTACAGGACGTGGAAGGATGGAGCTGTGGCACTACACCACGACTTGATTGACACATCTCAAAACTGGGAAAAGCTAGGCTTTGCAGGACCATGTCCGTACGCAGTTCCCCCACCGCTTGAACTGGCAGATCATCAGAAGAAGTATAGACTTTTTGAAGCAGCGCATAATCTGCGTTATGACCTGGCAGGCTTGCTCAACACAGCCACTGATGGCTGGGTGCCAACGGGCGACTGGGAGGCGGCGCAGACAGCGCATCATGAGATGTTTGATGGAATGTTGCAGGCCGTATTGACCAATCCTGAGATTGACGATCCTGATGAGCCTGTGAAGGATGAAGAGACACTGAGATCCATATGGCCCTTTGATATTTTAGGTTCCGCTTGAGTCTATTTGTCTGGACAATGGAAATGCCCATTACCTCGCGAAACTATTGAGCACCTATGTCACGGGGCTACGGAATAGGGGCTTGAGATGATGAATCAGAACTCCCAAAGATGGTTTAGATTCCGCAGTGACAGAATGAGAGCCTTTACAGTCACCGGTGGAAGTAGCATCTACCATGAACTCAAATCACAACTTTACATGACAATCGATGAGTGAGATATCAGCTCCACAATGGGGCGCCACTTCTCGCCTCCTGGGGGCGAGCAGCCCAAGTGGTCAATGCACAAGCTTCCAGAACATTGTTGAAGAAATACATCATGTAGGACAGGCCGGCCGCTTCTGAAGATATGGATCTACTATTGAACCATGATCCACCTTATAGTGGGCCAGTTTATTGTCCGCAAGTGATCGACCTCCCGCGTGTTCCCCCGGTTTGTCGCTGTCAGCAAACTTCGATAGTCGATCGGCTAACTTCTCCGTCAGATGCTCGGCCACGCGTAGACCTCGTATCCATGAGCTAATAACGCCCTTGCTTTCAGGGACCCCCTGATGCCGGTGAGGCGATCTTCTGCCGTTCATACCCTTAATCGTGCTTCACCCAGCGATCCCCTTCTAGTCTCTCCGCATCCGCACCCTCCCTGCATATGTTTCCACTTGCGCCATCCTGCCCATGAGGAGCAAATCGGAGGCCTGAGCGGCCCTTGTTGGCCCCATTGTCCTTGTATCCACTCGCAGATCCTCTTCTCCTCGGACCCTGAGGGTGGCGACCCTGGTCGACGTTCAATAAATCTCCCACTATCCTCCCTCCCCCTCACTACACCATGCCATCTTTGTCAACCATGTGTCCCCCTCACCCATGCTCCTCAAACGCGACACCCCTTCAGGGCGCCTTCTCCCCGACATATACCGAGACTCCCACCAAGTGCACATCTTCACGGCCTTTGCCGCCATCGCCTGCTACAATGCCATTGAACTCATCATCCTCTGTCTCTCGACCTTCAAACGCCGAGGCAGCGTCTACTTCTGGTCTCTCCTCGTGGCCTCCTTAAGCATCTTCCCGCAATGCGTAGGATATATTCTCCTCTTCTCCCGACCTCAAATCTCACCCTACGGCTCCGTCACTCTTATCATGATCGGCTGGTGCGGCATGATAACCGGCCACTCACTCGTCCTCTGGTCCCGTCTCCATCTCGTCCTCCAGGACCCCACAATCCTTCGATATCTACTCCGTCTCATCATCATGGACGACATCCTCCTCCAGATCCCCATAACTGTCCTCCTATACGGAACCGTTTCCACACACTGGAGACTCTTCAACCACGGATACAACATCATGGAGCGGATCCAGCTCGTCGGCTTCTGCCTCCAAGAAGGCCTCCTCTCCGGTCTGTATGTCTGGGAAGCTGCGAAGCTGCTACGACTTCGGCCTGAAGACCGACATCGTCGTATCCTAGCGCAGCTGATCGGGATTAATATCCTGGTATTGATACTGGATGTTGCCGTCGTCGGTATTCAGTACGCCGGGTACTATGCTTTGCAGGTTATGTTCAAGCCTGTCGCGTATAGCATTAAGCTGAAGCTGGAGTACGCGATACTCGGACGGCTGGTGGATGTTGTCAAGAAGGTCAATACTCAAGAGTCATTGAGTACTCAGGGCTTTGATATGCTGCCTTCGTCGTCGGAGGGATTGAGATCGAGAATGGAGAACCATGTAGATGGTGGCCTTGGGGGCTTTCTGTATCCTCAGAAGGTGTATACTTCGTCTCGGGGGTCTTAAAAGTCGTTTTGTATATAGTTATGATAGAATTGACGGCCGCATTGTCTTAGACAAGATGCTTCGCATTTGATTTCCTAAGACACTGCATTTACACTCCTAGTGCTTGGTGCCAGTCTCATTGTCTATCACGTATGCCATTTCCCTAAAACGACTTCTTACTCCATCGAACGCTAGCTTCCACACATGATCACACTATCACCCCATATCCGACATGCAAGTCACAATGCAGTGTAAATCAACGCCAAACTCCGTTACCATCAATCCATGCACCATAACCCCCGTACCACCATCCCGAACACCAATCCATCAACAACATGAACCACAACAACATCCCAACACTCCCCTCCCCACCTAACCAATCAATCAATCACACCAACTCCCACGGATTAATACTACGATCTCTCATCCTCTCCCGATCCTCCAACTGTCTCACCCTCCTCCTCAACGTCCCCAAATGCATCTCCATCTCCGTAAGAGCGCGTCTCAAAAACGGCAAATCGTCAATCGTCTCCGGACCCAACGGAAAGGGAAGAATACTTCCATCGAGGCGAGAAGTACCAGGCGAGTAGGTGGATACTTCGCTGCTCTCTAGCTTGATCATCTGATTCGAAGCCCGCTCTTCATCATGATTGGTATACCCCACATCGCTTCCGCTCGGCGTTGGAGTGGTAGCTCTCGGTCTGAGATTATACGGTCTCTGACGGGTTGATCTGCGCCCTCGTCCCCTAGCCCTACCTCCACCGCGACCACGACCAGAAGCAACAGCAGTAGCTGAATATCCCCTTGAAGCAGACGGCGGCGGAGTGGTGAGCCCAGCTTCACTCCCGACCTCATCCTTAACTCTAACCGGCGTCTCAGGCTCAGGTTCCTCAACCTGCATATCTACCACAGTCAGCCCACACCCTCCCCCTCCCCCAATCAATCACCCCCCAGAAAGATAAGTACTTACTAAAACTACACCCCCTCCTACTAAACCGACACGCCGCACAAGCCCCATGCGCACTCATCCCCTCCCTAGTATCGAACCCCACCACGCACGTCTTCCACACGCCCTTACCCTCTCTGCAATGGAGACACGGCTCTGGTGGCTCGCATCCGCGTGTCTGTGCGAATGCTGCCGTCAGAGACACGACGTCTTTCAGTGGTCGACGGAGTGGCTCGTTGGTGGTCTCGTCGGTGCGCCATTCGAGGGGTCGGAGGATGGGCAGTTGGTGGTATTCCAGCATTGAGGAGCTGGGGCGTGGGCCCAGGAGGGGGAGGGCGTTGTGGGTTAGGCCGGGGAGGACTGCGTTGGTTTGTTAGTTGGTGGGGTGTTTTGGGGGGAAGTGGGTTGGGGGAGAAGAGGGGAGGATGGGGGGAGGCGTACGCTCTGAGGGGGGAATTTCGACGCGGACGGAGGGGATTGGGCTGGGGGTTTGGTTGTGGTGATTGTGGGAGGATGGTGGTGAGATTGAGGGATGGAGTTAGGTTGGGGCTGGGCGTAGTTGAAGATTCGGAACATGATTGGGGCTGGTTGTTGTGGTTCTTGCATTGGGATTGTAGCTTCGGTTTGGGAGTAGAGAATGGTAGTTGATAAGGGGAGAGGATGATGAAGAGAAAGTTGAGATGGAATGAGTTGGTGAGAGGAGAAAGGAGGGTCTTGGGATGGAATATATGGAAGAGGCTTGAATATGGTACGGAGTGTGTTACTTGGTAGTAGCATCGGGGCTGGTTGTAGCGCTTGCTTTGCTGGTGGTAGTGAGTGGGACTGCAGTGAATGGAACAGATGTTGTATCAGATGCTGAGAGGGTATATTAGCAGTGTGCTGGGTCAAAGTCGATCCGGGAGATATGTGGCTTGCCTTGAGACTCTGTTAGTATAGTATAACACTTGTATTCGAGTCCGAGATGATATCGAACTCAACTTGAGAGAGTCGGCAGAGACTGGTGTGATTGTATGGGTAATTTCATCTATGCCTTCAACACGGTGTTGACTAAGAGAGACTACGCATTAACTAGCAGTAGATGTGGAGAAAATCATTTCGGTGCTATATTAATTGGTTAGAAGTCCCCACTGGTATCAACCAAAATACATTCCATCCTTCCCATCTACTTCCCCAAGCAGCAACTCCCTCAATGCCTCATCGGCACCAACTAGCTCCTCCACCTCCTTCGCAAATCCCTCCTTCGCTTCAATCACCTCGTCATCCTTAGCGATCTCCTCATCTGGATTCTCCAAAACCATCCTCAGCAAGTAGACCACTCCTTTCAGCTGCATCTTCAGTTTAATCAACTCTTCCTTTTCATCCTCTTTCCCTCGCTCCGCAGCCTCCTCATCAGCCACGGTAAGCCAACATGCCGCCACGGCTCCCAGGATCTCCCCTCTCCAGCGCCAAATCCTCGGGTGTGCATTCAAAATCACAGCTCTAGTAACAGCCACTCCTGCCAATAGGAGAGGTGGATACGCCGTCCCGAAGGGATTAGACAGCGTACTGTAGATGAGTGGGATGATTTCCTGTAGGTACTTTGTTGTGTGTACTGCGAGATCGAAGAGACTATCGTGTATCTTGTTTAATAGAAGAGTAGACAATTTCGGGTGCGGGAACGAGGATAGCGTAGATTGTGTCCCGCTAGAAGGCGTCAGGGTGCTAATGTGGTGGAAGGAGGGGATGAGGTTCTCGCGAAGGACTTTTGTTAGCTCGGTGGTGTAGGTTTGCTTATCCTTGGGTGAATAGCTGGTTTTGAGGAGTAGAAAGAGGGTTGGATAGGCTGTGCTTAGAAGACGGATGGAGTCGGGTTCAGGGGTTATGGTGGGTAGGGAAAGGAGACATGGTTTGATGGCATCGATGAAGACAGATGAGAGGTTGGTTCGCTTCAGAATATCGGATTTGGCTTGCTGGATGGGTCGCAGGAGATGGGTGAGAAGAGTGCAGCCGTCGGTTTTGTTGGGGTTGGTTTCATCATCAATTAAGGCGAGGATGGATGGGACGAGAAGGGGGAAGTGGGATTCCAGACGGTTGATGTCTGGCGCCTAGAAGTTGTTAGCGGCAAGTAAAGCATGGTCAGTTGAAGATGGATTTACCTGATATTGTCTTAAAATCCAGGCAAAGACTGTCGTCGCGTAGACGTCTGATGATCGCCATGGTTTCGACTCAGGGTCAAGAATGCTGGTATCAAATCTGGGAAGAGGGATGGGGTGCATGTCCTTGCGACCTGCTGCTGTGATGGCGGGGTTCCTGGTCCTCGTGAAGAGAGGTCGGATTCTGTCCTTGAGGATGGTTTCAAGGACAACCCAGAAGGATGCCTCTGGTGTCGGGGGTGATGTGCAAAACCTTTCAAGAATGGCAATGGACGCCGTGTGTGACTCGGCTGTTGTCCACGGGTCTGCATCGGAAGTGAAGCTTGCCAGTGCGAGGATGATGTTTGGCACGTCTGCTGCTTTATGCACTGGAAATAGAGAGTCCAAGGCCGCAATCACTGATATTGCGAGTGATGATCGCAGCTTATCTTCATGCATAAGAGCGTTCTTCTCTTCTGGGCTACGTCAGCATATCTGAATATGTGAGAGAGGGAAGCTTTAAACTCACCACTGGGCTCTTCCATAGAGTCCGCGTACACTGCCGATGGAAGAGCATGCCTACTCGCCCAGGCATAGATGTGATTTGCTGCGGCAACATCAGGCTCTGATAATTCATTGGAGGTCCGAAGTCTCAGGAACTCCCGAGTGAGATACAAGTTCTCAGATGCCTGCAGTAATCAGTTAGCATCACTATCTAGGTGTGATATCAAAATGGCCTATCATACAGTTGCATTGTCGTTGTCCTTGTGGGCTGAAATGGTGTCCCATAAACGGTCCAATTCCTTGGGGACGACGACATTATCCAGCCGCGAGTCTGGGATGTGCGCATCACCGCGACTTAGGCACTCACGCGCCACCGATTTAAACTCTTCCATAGACACGTCAATGTACCTCGCTATCTACAGAAACGTGTTTGTAGAACTGACAGTCAAGATGTCCATAGAAAGGTAGCTTCGGGCCAGATGACTCGGGGATCCATCGCCGTCGGCAACCGAATTTCTCGAGCGGTAAGAAACGGGAGCCGAGAAACAGTCTTTACATTACCCACCCAGACATCGTTTAGCTGCAACTTAATACTATATGAGCGGTTTCTTTAATTCTTTTCCTCCTCTATCTGTAATTTTTACCGTTACTATCCAAGTTATATTCATTTTTTACGGTACCATGCATATGTCAAAGAAAAAAAGGAAGAAAGAACAAGAATGATTACTCATTAAACGTAGTATATATCTCTGGGTTTTAACAAGTCTACCTGATCCAGTTAAGAGTCTTTGGTACATGTGTCGACACATACTGGACCAAGACGAGGTAGATAGTTGCACGTTCTATCGTCCAATGACTATCTTATTTTCTCCGACCATACTAAGACATCTGGTGAACATGTAAATCATGGATTAACATGCCAAACACAAGCAACTGAGAGCAGGATGTCACCCGCTATTTCAGCAAAATCAGCGTTGACCTAACACATTGGAACTCTCATTGCATCGCTCTATCAATATAAATAGACACATGACGCTGCACATGGCTGATATGAGGTAGCTTTGTTTGTAGTAGGGCTACCAAGTGAGAACCCTCAGGTGAACAATGCTTCAGGAGCCGCCGTTGCTGAGCCAATACAGTGGCAAACACTAGACATATAATGGAATGATCAGTGAACGGTCAACCTGTCAAAGTAATATAGAAGGATTGTCTCATACGTTTTCAGGGTGCCATCACAGGTCCAAGTCTTAGCGTGGACGGTCTCTATGCACTATGGCATGCTTCAGTATACAATTCCACGTGATATCGTACTTTGGGGGCAATGCGTACTTACATTCTTCTGGCACTGTGAAGGATTGAGCGGACATCCATAATTGAGTGGCTCTGCTGGGGTTGGATCCTGAGAGGCATACACGCCGCCCACCAACGAAGCGGCGACATAAAACAGAAGACCGAGGTAGCGCATATCTGCCTGTTTGTGCACGAATAGCAACGACTGTGTGTATGAATAAGTTGAGAATGGGAGGCTTTGATGTTCAAAAGATATGGGATTGAGAGACGTATTTGTAGTCGTCAATTGCATGCTCAAATTGTGGACACAGTCATCATCCCTATTGCATAGGCCATATGTGGGCTCGATTGAGCTGAGGGAATTATCATCATCAGCCAGCCACCATTTCCTAAAGGTTGGTTCATGTGAGCTATTGTAGATGCAGATTGGCCTTGACTACACATGCTGTATTACCCCATACTGCACGATTGAGGTGTTTGAAGTATTATCAGGTGTGTATAACCTGTCCCACGGACAATGGAAGAAGAAAAGGCAGCACTCGATAGACCCGGCATGTACTGCTTAATTCAACACCTGAATCAATGCAACTCGTCTGTCTGGGAACCGTGTCTTTAGTTCCCTAGTTCAGATGTCAGGAAAATGCCAACCCTGAAGGAGGGATTGTGGTGGTTGCTACATGGAAGCAATACATCCCCTTCACCCCATGGAGATTTCCGAGCCTTACGCAAGGGACTTTTCGTGCGACTCTTCAACCCAAAGTACATCAGACAGAGATTAAACCCCAGTCTTCATGAAACATTGTCATTCGAATTCAACAATACTTGCTGACAATACCGGGTGGCCGGACTTGAGGAAGTGGATGCACAAGCGTATGAATATCAACCACCAGACTCACGAGATGTTTGGGCTTTCTCACTTGCCTCTCAAACATTCTAGGTACTCATATCCCCTCTGCCATGCAGGTAGGGAGAAGGAACTTTGCAAGGCATACGGAATTGATTGGATTTGTATTGCTGAGTACCATCTCCAGACATCCATGTGATACATGATAATATACTTCCTTACATTAGCTACTACCTACTTAGTGAACCAAATCGGGAGTGCAATTTATGGCACTGATGTGGTCTATGAGTGATGGAGGGTCCCTTCCCTGCCTGAGCGATCACCCTTACTCACATTGGGTGAGACTTTGCCGTGCGATCCGGCGCAGTGAATGTGCCTATTTCGCAGTATTTCACGATCGTCATACTATATGACACCGGTTGGCATATGAGCAGATTTGCTTCTATCATGGCTAAAGGCGCCAAATTTCCTCGGACGAAGTAGGATTCTCCTCGGTTCCTCCCACAATGCCGAGTATTGTTGAGGGGAGTGAACAACAGAGTATGCGTACCCATAGAGCAGCCATGATATTTCTATTACTATGTAGAGATGCCTAGCTCTTCTTTTCTACGGGACAGCTCTTCTAGCACCTGTTCCTTGTCGGTAACCTCCGGGTGCAACAGCTGCCATTTGATCGACATATCCAAGGCTTTCGACATCCAGGGCCCAGTCTTGCAACCAAGAGCCTTTACAATCTCTCCGCCGTTGGCGAGTGGCTTCAGTTCAAACACATCCTGTAGGTCTTGCTCTTTGATGTAGGAGAGGAAGCGGTCGTACGATTCCAGAACTGCCATCACGTAAGCATCAGTTTCTTATATAGACAATGGGCATGGGAAAGTCCTTACCGCTGGTAAACTCGCCGCCTCGCATAATTCCTTGAAGAATGGAAAGAAGTATACAGAGTCTCCAGTCCTTCTTCCATGAGCGGATGTGCAGTCCGACCTGCTGCCGCACCTCTGCTGCAGTTCCATCCATGCGTCCCTCGAGGACAGCATTCTTGATGTCGGTAATGGCCTGCCAATTATGGGCCGCATCGCCAATGACGGCGATTGTCTTGTTATCGGCTCTCAAACTGTCTCGAGCTACTTCCGCGGTCCGGGCCGGGAGAGGTTTGGCTTTGGGTCCCCTCGCAACGCGGGTTGGCACACTTGACCATGGAGCAAATGCCGCAATCATCCACGCGTAGTAGGATTCAAGTTTGTCGCGTATGAGGAAATCGCGAACATTCTTGATAATCATGGGGTCATCATCATGAGGTTTCAAAATTCTCCCCAGCGCATTGTATGCAAGTGCCCATGACGAGGTATCTGCTTGCGCATCATCCTGGTGGTTGGCAAAAATAGTCGGGTATAGTCCAAGGTGGTCAATGAATTGCAGTGCACCGCGGGGATCAGGACCTGGAAACTGTGAGCAACCATCAATGCTGACTTGGACGTTACAAACCTTGCAGCATCTTTTCTAGCTCCTTGCCCACCCGTTCTCTGCTGATCTTCAGCTTGAGAGCCTCCCCGATAAGTTCATTTCGCATAGCCTCCTGAGTCTCCTCTTCGATATTGTAACCCAGTCGGCTAGCAAAGCGAATCAAGCGCAGCACACGCAATGGGTCGTCCTGAAAGGTTTGATAGGGTTCCATCGGGGTACGAATGATCCTCTTCTGCATATCCTCCAGACCTCTTTCAGTCAAATCCTCAACCTTGGACTCGTTCAGATTATAAAAAAGCGCATTGATCGTCGCATCGCGGCGCATCGCGTCCTCCTGGGCTGTGCCAAATTCCATCTGCGGGTTTCGGCTGTCTTCCGAGTAGGTCTCCTTTCGTAAGTTCACGAGATCAATATCCAAGCCGAATATCCTTGTTGTCACTGTCTCCAGGTGTTTGGACTTCTCTGGGTTCGCCTCGATTTTATGTAGGCTAGCAATTGCATGTTTCAGCTCTCCATTGGGCTGTTTCTGTCGGTACTTCTCCAAGTTTTCCGGTCTATCCATATACTCCTTGAGGAGCAAACCAAACTGATACCCTGTCATGTTGTTGATACCGACGTCCACATCGTTGCTACCCACCCCTAAGAGCTTGTCCCGCACCCATCCTCCGGTAAATCGCAGAACCGTAGGCTCTGTATCGCGGCGGCCTTCTGCAATATTCTTCTCGTGTATGTATTCTGCGACATCAAGTAAGAGTGATTTTAATGTCGATTCAAGAGCAGTAAGTTCAATGGTGGGAACGGTATTCGCGGATTGAGTCATGGTGTCTCCTGCAGCGCCCTGATGCGGGGCAGCTTCAGGTATGCGCCGTCTTTTGTTTGTTCGCTGAGGGGAGAGGCTGGAGGATCTCCGACGGCTCATGGAAGAGCTGTGCGGTACAGATGTAGACCGGAGGGTATGTATACAAGCACGGGGTATCAACGGGGAGATTCTGCGAAGAAGAAGAAATCCAATTGCGGCGGAAGCATCAGTTGGCGGAGAGAGAGGAACAGTCAGGCGGAGTAGGCGGCGCTTGGAAGGCAAGGAGAAGAGGGCTGTTCTGAGCATGGGTAGCAGCCATCCCAGGATGAGTCAAATGGGCTGACGAGTGAATGTACTCTATTGAGTCATGAGATGGTCAGCCTTGTGTTCCCGATTACAAGGAGAGCGCATCGCAGGAAGAGTGGAGGGGATCAACAGCAGCGCCTAAACAATCAATTAATTGCCCGGCAGATCAAGTGGAGGATCATCACCGCCTTCCGAGCCGTCAACAACAACTCAATCCATTAAACTAACAATGAAGCTTGTCGCAGCTCTCCGTTCGATAACAATCCACTGGTAAGCCAGTCTGCTTTCCTGGATCACCTCGGAATTCATATATTCTGAAAAGCAGTGATCAAAAGAGTACCTCGCCACCGTCCTGACCCCCGACATTAGCTGCCGTGAGGGACGCATTAGCCCCAACGGAGCTGCTCGCCCGACTTGCGCTCTGGGATTCGCCCGCGGTGACTTGGCTTCAAACGCATCCCTACAACATTGCCGGATTCCTCCCGCCATTCCCTTTCTCCTGACCATTCCCTCCGAATCTCACCACACCACATCACTCCCTTCCTCTATTACTCTCCTGCGGGATCACTCCCCACCCGGTCCATGGGCTCTAGGGTCAATTCTACTCTTGTTAACAGCGCATCCCACGCAACTCGGAGTCCATGACATCGCCCGGAGATGCGGCTCCGGTCAAGCCTCCGCCGTCGTTCTCGCCCGGCGTTCCACGTGTCGCATCCAAGTCGAGATATCCGAATCAGCGCCGCGACTCGTCATCGACCCTTGATGCAGACCTGGTAGACTCGAGGATCCGCTCTCCGACCCCGCCCCTGACGGCCACGACCGCAGAACTTCCGATTAGGTCCGCATCGCCTCGTGCTCCTTCTTTCCGATCGTCGACTCCACAATTAGCCCGATCATCCCTGGGATCCCCGGTAGAAGGTCGTTTCGATGGCGCAGAGGAAATTCGTTCTCTAATCATACGCTCGTTCTCCCCGGTGGTTGGAGTCTATGCATCAGCGGACACCGATGAGTTGGTACGACAGAAAGGCTTCGCTGGTGGTTTCTGGGAGTTGGTTCGCCCTTTCGGTGAGAATGTGCCCGGAAAGTTGGTCATAAGGGACAGCGTGGGGTCGAGTCGTGGCTGGGAAGACTACGGGGTGCGCTTCGTGAACTTGGCCAGCAACAGCCCGCCCCCTACCAATTCGAGCTCAGGGCGAAACCCCTCCCTGGCACAGGTGGAAGAGGTCTTGGAGAAGCAATTGGGCACGACAGATGATCCGCTGGGCGGATCAATGCGCCCCAGAGATTTCTTGAATTTTCCTACAACATCCCCTTTATACAAAGTATTTCTTCGACACCTTCTATCGATATCCTCGGCCACGCCGCATGAAACATTTCGACATCCAGTGGCCAGCGTTATTGCTATTAGCTCACGCAATACTGCCCCGCTTGAAACCCTCAGACAACTGTATGCGGATACGAGCAATGGGCCTAGGAGGTTGCCAGATTGGTGTCACTCTGAATACCTCCGGTACTACGTGCTTGTTCATGACGAGGATCGGGATGACATTGCCGAATCAACCAAGCTGTACGACCAAATGAAGCGTCATTTCGGGTTACATTGCCACTTGTTGAGGCTGCGCAGTAATCAGTGCGTGGTCACCGACGATGACAGTGTTCAAGTTCCTGAATGCGAATGGCTCTCGCCTACTGAGCGACTTTCGGGTGGAGCTGGTATGAGAAGATCCCTGCATCTACAATATGGCAATTACTGACGATCAACAGAGCCCTTGGTTGACCTGGATAATAATGGTCTTTACCTTTTCGACTCGGATATTATGGCAATCAAGGCCTTTATTCGAGAGCTAGTTGCACAGTCCGTCATACCATTCATGGAAAACCGAGTCGCTGTTTGGAATGACCAGGTGGCCTCTCGTAGGCGTGGTATCAGTGGTCGATTCATGTCCATGTCACGGAGATGGGCGGGGTTCGGAACTGGCTCTCGTTCCAGCCTCACATCGGGGGGAGCCAGCGGAAACTACGATGTCACTCACGGTTACTATAGACCAGACACGCCTGAAGCCCTTCTGCGTAAAATGGCTGACTTCGCGTTCATGCTCCGCGACTGGAAGTTATCAGCATCCACGTATGAGCTTCTTCGGTCGGATTATGCGAACGACAAGGCTTGGAAATACCATGCGGGTGCCTACGAGATGTGCGCCGTAAGCATGCTTCTCAATCCGGCCGCAATGGGGACCAAGGTGAAACTCGACGGAATCGATCAGATGTTCGACACGGCATGTTATTCCTATCTTACACGGTGCTCAGACGCACCTGATGCACTTCGTTGCCTCACTTTAGCCATGGAATTGTTGAAGTCTCGTGGAGGTTCGGCAGTGGAAAGCGCCGCTCGATGGGCCATGCGGGCCATGGACCTTGGGCTAGTGGGATCCATCGGCCAGGGCCTTTTCAGCGAGCGTGTGTCGGCATGCTATGCGGCGAGGTCACCGGTGAGCGGAATGAAATGGGGCTCTCGACGTCGGAAGGCTGGAATGTGGAGTGTATTTGCCGCCGATATGTGGCTTCGTCTGGGGAAACCGTCACTAGCATCGGCTGCTCTCGAGGAGGCGGAGCGACTATATGCAGATGTATTGGATGGCGATGGGGGATTTCCAATGCCCGAGATGCAAACGTTCGTTGACAACCTAAGACACGCCGTCAAGGTCGAGTACTTAGAAGCCCGAGGGCTAGACACAAGGGATGAGGCAGCCACTGCCGAAGCACTGGGCACGGAAGAAACCAGCGAGAAGCTGGACCGGCGCATGAATCGCAAATCCTTGATCTCGAATCCGCTGGATTCGGGCGGTCTTGGTCCGGCGCAAGGCACGAGAGATGATGACAATGCAGCCAATGACGACTTCGAACGAGCTTAGGGACGCAATAATGGTGCGACGGGCGCATAGGTTATACAATATCATAGACATGTGTCAATTAATGTTTCTCTACGTGTTTATGCTTAAATTGAATTCCACTGTCTCTATAGTCCTACCATATCCGGTAGACTCTTACCGCCTTGTAGACCGCTCAACCCGGCAGAACCTAGCGAACCTCGCTCTGAAAATCTCGGATTTAAGCGGATTTAAGAACATACAGTCCCCAAAAAAAGGCTCCGAAATCTGTTGAAAATTGGGCGGTGGCAGAAAATGATCGCCCGCCGCGGCAGAGCCATCACACGTGACCGCCTCTTATCGATAAGATGACCTCCCCGACAACCAACGCTAAGGACGAAGTGGCCCATTTATTGACATCAGATAGACATCCCGATACTACCTCAGTAGCACCACGCACACACGGGGGCTATCCAGCCTACACCGACAGGGTGTACAGTTCCTTCATTGCGAATACATAATATATATCACATTTAGACATTACATCTCTTTTTCACTGTCTCACTTTACATACTCATCTGCCACTCACCATAATAACCACAATGACGACCCTCCTTCAATATATCCTCTCGCAGGATTCCTTCAGAAAGTCCGTCCTTGCCCCGCTTTGCCATCCACTCTGATCATGTTTACTGACACACCTTCTCTTGTTTCAGAAACCGCCTCCCCTCCCTCTACTCCGACTTCCCCATCCACCGCAAGACCAACCCCGAGGGATACACCACCAACATCGCAGCCTGGGAACATGCCCTAACCTCCGCCGCAAAGCACGGCTACATCGCTCCACATGGTCCCGCCTCGAAGGGCAAAGCGAATCACTTGATCCTCCGAGCGGATGAATCCTTGCTACGTGATCTGGAGATCCCGGAGTGTGGACGGCCTGTCGCACTGGGTGCGGTCTTTGTATGTTACAACCATATGCAGGTATATGAGGAAATGGGTGTGTACGGTGACTAATTATGGCTCCGTGTGATGCAGGACGAAGCGACAAGGAATCGAACCATGGTGCCGCTGCATCTTTATCGGACTAATCCAGCGAGTTTGCGCAAGCCGCAGTGGGGGATTGATACGTCTGTTTTGAGTCCGTGGGCTGTCATGAGCTGGGGAATGAAGCAGTTGAAGGGCGTTGTGATTGGAGGCGAGGAGGCGACGCCGAGGTTGCAGCCTCAGGAATTGGTTTTGGTGGAGAATTTGAAGGTAGGTTGGTTGCGTTGGCTTGGGTTCGGTCCGCGGTTGTTGGAATGGGTAGGACTAATGAGGTGTGCTTATAGGAGGCTGCGGACCGCGTAGTCAAGAGTGCCACGGCGAATAGTCCGTCAAAAACGGACTTGGTCTATTCCAAGGAAAGCTTCGTGAACGAGTTCGCGGGTGTTTTGGATGAAGGGACTCGCCTGTCGGACGTGGATATGGATGTGCTGTTACTGTACATGTCCCGTGATAGCGGTGCTATTGCGTACGATGGCAAGGTATGTGTCTTTATTCCTATGTCTCAGTGTTTTATCTATACCATGTAGGATGCTAATTATGTTGCAGACCATCAAATTCAGAACCAGTGACGCTTCAAAAGATATCACAGAGCAAGATACCGCCGTCGCCTCTATCAAAACGCTCATGGCGACTATGGCCAAGCAGGTGGAAAACCTGGAGAATAAAATCACTGAGCTTAATGCGACTGCCAAAATGGCTCTGCGAAACAAGAACCGCGTTTCTGCGCTCTCGGCTGTGCGCTCTAAGAAGCTCGCGGAGCATAATCTGAAACAGAGACTGGATACCCTGATGCAGCTTGAGGAGGTATATTCCAAAATCGAGCAGGCGACGGATCAGGTGCAATTCGTGAAGGTCATGGAGGCAAGCACCGGAGCACTTCGGGGCTTGCATGCTCAGATCGGTGGTGCGGAGAGGGTCGAGGATGTGGTAGAAGAGTTGCGTGAAGAGATGTCCAAGGTGGACGAGGTCGGAAACATCATGAACGAGGCTGGTCCACAGATTGATGAGACTGAGATCGACGACGAGCTGCAGGAACTGGAGAACAAGGAGCGGGAGGAGATGGAAGAGAAGGAGGCAGAAGAGACTCGCAAGAAGCTCGCCGAACTCGACAGTCTCCAGCAGGGCGCTCAGGAAGCCGCTCGCAGAACAGCAGCGGAGCGAGCTGTGGAATCGGAATTGGAGGACCGCCTGTCTCGGATGTCGGTCGAGGAAGGTCCCAATACCACTGCTTAGCGCAAGACGATGAACAATCCTCCAGGGCCTGGGACCTGCATAATGCGCATATTCTAGGCACATACACCGAGTGCAACTAATTTTGCGCATTGGTCATCTGGCTGTCGACTGAGCTCTGGAGCGTTTGCGCCTGTACCTCAGGAACAATGACGGTTTTGTCTTCTACAGGCAACCTCTCCGGGGGGTGGGCATCTTCCGCCGCATGTATGGCTTCCGTGTGCTCAACAACAGGTGCACTCGAAGGCTGATACGTTGTCTGGCTGGCAAGCTGGTCGGTTGCCTGATTTGTGCCTACATTTTCTTGTGGTATCGTGGTGCGCACCTGCGCTTCGCTCTTCTTTCGCGCATTCGCAATGAGTCGCTTGAAGTCATCATCATGGCTCGTTGACCAGGCCGCCGCATCGAAGTCTTTGCGCATGACGGTATCTGTGACATCACCTGATAATTGCGCTTGACCGCCTTGTGTACGTTCCCAGATATCCAGTTCTCGCAACAATTCCCTCTTGGACTTTGGCGTTTTGGAGTCGCAGTTGGCATTCCATAAATTCATCCACTCTGTGTGACGTCGTTGCAGAAGAGGCCTCGGGCCCGTGTTCGGTATACCCAAATCTTTTAACTTCTTTCGGAGCACATTATCTTTCAATAAAGAATAGTTTATAATGGGCAGTCGTTCTGGTGTTTTATTCAGCGCGTCTTTTGATCTCTGCGCCGCTGGTTGTAACGAGCTATAATTTTGAGTCAGATGCAAACATGTAGAGACGCTCCGGAAGACATATCTTACCCAAAGTTCAACTGTTTCGGTGGCGCCGGCTCTCCAGTGCATGTATCCAAATGTCGAAATACCGCCTCATTCTTCATCCTCCGGCTGCAGATCGGGCACGCGACTAGTCCGTCCTCTTCAGTGGCAATTAGCATGCGACGCAACTTTGCCGATGAGTATACACACCTGGAACATATTCCTCATCATTACTATCCTCAATGACCTCAATCGCAACAGGATCTTCCTGAGAGCCCACTCCCCGAGTTTGCGATCGAGTCCTCACGCCCTCCGCAGCAGATCCATCTACCGCCTCGACCTTTCTCTTTTTCGGTGCTGGCTCCTCCGACTTTGCCTCTTCTGTCGCACTCCCCCGCGCAGCAGCCTTCCTCGCCAAATCTATAACACTGGGTCTAGCATTCTGGAACGCCTCGACCAGTTCCTGAACAGCCCAGTTTCGCCGCAACTTCAATTCCTGATCCGAGCTGCGACACGCGGGGCATTTGCCTTCCGTGCTTAAACACCGCCGAATACAAAGTGAGCAGAATGTATGACTGCACGAAGTAATCACCGGGTTATCGAAGAAATCCTTGCAAACCTGGCAGCGGAGGGCAGATTCGAGCGGCGCGACGAGTGACAGTGGCGTTGTAAGCCAATCGGTCGAGTCGGGGAGGTCGAAGGTTTGGTCCATGGGGTGGGTGGGTGCAGGCTACGGCGACTATCGAGGTATCATCGGATAGACAGGTAGGTCTAGTAAGCAAAGGCGGGACGAGGAGAGTTTCTGGGGCTGTAATGAACCGTGAATGGCAACTGGCGATCATCAAGAGTAGTTATTGTGATGGCGTCGGAGACTGGCTGCGGTGCCAAGACCCGCTGACTGATACGCGTAAAGTGCTTCCAGAACGCGTCGTCCATGTTCTACTCCGCATCGCATGTTGCTTTGAACGACGCCGTTTTTCACGCACGATAAGAGGCCTGTTGTCATCATGGCTGTCGCTGACTATAAGAGGTATCTTGCTGAGAATGTTCTCAACGAGCGACGCACGGTGAGTCATGTCTAATGTGCTGCAAGCTGGATATCTACTAACAGCTTCGCCGCATACTACAGGTCACCTACCGGTCCTTAGGTCGAGCCCTTCGGGTTCATAGTACCCTGGCCAAGCAGTATGTCTTATACGAAAGACACGAAGTTATGCATATGGATTATTCTGATTGTTATCGGAAAGGATGCTTTTCGATTTCCACCGCAACGAAAACAACAAGAAGCCAAACAGCGTCAATGCGACTTACATTATCACGGGCATCCAGAAAGCGCCAGAGACCCCTCCCACAACGAATGGCCTTCAGGATAGCTTCGATGGCATTCCCCAGAGCAGTCCCTACATTAGCAGTTCGATGCCGAACCAGGATGTCGCTACGGATGAGATCGCCATGTCCTCGGTTGTGCTTGTGCGAGAGGAAGACTTGGAGGGTACGTGGAATTGCTTCCATTGCGTTACGCAAAGGGTGGAGTCTGATAATTGGGTGCGCAGATGCGAAGGCGACTTTCCAATCAATCTCATCGATATACGTCTACAGCCTTCAGCCAACGGTGCTTCAGGATCTCAACGTCTTGACAGATGTCGCGGGAGAGATGATCGCCAAGCATGCTCAGGAGGATCCCTTAGAATACGGCAAGACCTGGGGCATGATCCAGGGCAACAATGTCCGGGTAAGACATGCGCTCGGGTTTCTATATTCCTCTGATACTAATTCGATTTGTGCTGCAGAGACGAACCGGCGGTCGCCCTCCTGTACCAGCTCCCGCTCAGGCTCCAGCTCCCCCTAAGGCGACTATTCCAGCTAAGCGTCCTGTTAAGGAAGAAGAAACACCACAACCCAAGAAAGAGTCTGAAGACAAGGCCCCGAAGACGGAGACAACGATTAAACGCGAGGAACCTCCAGCGTCTAAGCCAACTGAGAAGACAGCTCCTCCAAAGCAAAAGAGCAGTATATTTAGCTCTTTTGCGAAAGCCAAGCCGAAGCAGAAGAAGGAAGAATCAGCAACGCCGGCCACTTCGGCTGCCGAATCGGTCAGTTTTGTTGGACCCAAATTGTCTTGGTATCGAGTGACTGACAATCATATAGGCCGAACCCAGTGCTGCTGAAGATGGTGGGTGTTCACCGTTTACATTGACGACGATTTACATGATACTGATGAGTAGCAGTGGTTCTGGACGACGCATCAGACGGGGATGAGGAGCCCGAGGAGCTCTTCCGAGACTCAGGGAAGTCCGCATCCGCCGGTACACGTGAGTCGCGGAAAGAGCGTGAAGAGAGGCTCAGAAAGATGATGGAAGATGATGGTACGTTGCCTCCTTATTGTCGGTAACTCTTCTGACTGGTATTAGACGAAGACGAAGACGAAGAAATGCCCGATGCTGCACCGTCACCGGAAGCGTCTAAACCTATCGACGAGCCGCCGCCGAAACAGGCTGAACTCAAGGAAGAAGTTACGGTGAAGGGCGGTCGTCGCAGGGGCAGACGCCAAGTCATGAAGAAGAAGACAGTCAAGGACGATGAGGGCTATCTTGGTGAGATTATCAAATGTTACTTGAGTAAGGCCATCACTGACTTTATTTCTTGCGTAGTGACTGTTGAGGAACCAAGCTGGGAGTCATTCTCAGAGGACGAGCCAGCTCCACCTCCCAAGAAGAAGCCCGCTGTGAGTGCACCCAAGGGCAAACCAGCAGCGAAACCGGGACAGGGTAGCATCATGTCCTTCTTCTCGAGGAAGTGAACAGCTCTTGGATAATCGGACGATTCTGAAACCGCGTCATTTTCGAGACTTTTCTCTGCTTCTGGTGCTCATATACCATATCCGGGGGTTGTGACCGATATACGCTGGTTGAATAGTGCGCCTAAGCACTCCCAAGAAGCCATTCCCATATGCAGTGCGTTGAACCGGTCAAACCCGGTTATCTCCACCTCAACCCAGACTAGACTCACACCCAGTATACCCTTCTTTGGTACGATGCAGTGGACTGCTTGTTACATGTCATCAATATCTGGTCTGCTATTCTCCTTATCCCAATGCTTATGTGTTCCTGCATACAGCGCTGCATCTATAGTATATAGTTTCACTGTTTTCACTCGACACGCATAGCATTTTCCACCCAAGTAATACGTCCAGTTCATGTACTATTAGGTAGAGCTTTGACTATACAAATATTTGTGACGTATTTGCAGCGTTCTTGAGTGTGCTCCCATTCGAAATGGACAATCTTTTTCATAGTTTTGATTGTCATGAATGCGGCTGGCTCTGATAGGCAAAGATGATAGCCATTATCCAATCCATCATTTACTCTATTGTACCAATTCTGGACTAAAGTCAATGCTTCGAAGCGCAGTAGGATAGCGTTCAAGTTATGCTTAAGCGAATACCGTCCTGGGATGTGATCGACAAGCTAATGCCAACATATAATATCAATGGTGTCAGGCGACTATCGGAAAGACTCTTGGCCATCGGCTGATCAAGGCACTTGATCGAGCGGAGAATTATTACTAGACATGACAAGACTAGTAGATGTATAACGCAGAGAGCAATGGATGCAAATCTGACCTGCAGTGAGTTAGAATTACTGCCACGAAGTATGTGCATTCCGGAGGGTTCAAAGGCATCCTACAGGGCAAGAGTGAGTTGGTATGATGGGATGGGAAATACTGCCGGGAATCCGGGGGATCAGCGAGGAAATCGGCTGTTTGCGATCTTCTTCCCCGCATTCCCCTGCCTTCCCCTGTCATCCCCCAACCCGCCCACTTTAAAACATGCCATTGTTCCCCCTAATTCTTTTTCAATGGTCAATGGCACACTGGTTCAACCTTCCGGCCTCATAATACAGACTCACCATCAGCGACAACCGCTAACCAGTCGTCAAAATGCGCTCGTTGTCGCTGGCCGTCACCCTCGCCGCCGGCTTGGGTGCAAGGGGAGCTGCAGCTCGCGATGAGCCTTCCATTCTGCGTCGGGCTTGTCCAGACTACACCTCTTATGCTTCTACTGGACAGTAAGGGACTCTTCCCTTGACATGACTTCTGTATCAGCCTGCTCATCCTCTTCGTCATTTCCAGTGCCCCATACAGCGGTGGTCCTCTGAATCTGCCCTACCAAAGACCCGCAGCAGAATGTCGGACCTTTGTCTCAAACGCAGTAGAGCAGGTCATCGACGATGTGACCTCGCGCATGGTAGACAAGGACATGGCTCAACTCTTTCGCAATGCCTTCCCTAACACACTGGACACAACCATCCGCTGGCATGTCAATAGCACGTCCACTAGTACTTCCTCCTCTCGGAAGATGAGACGAGACAGTTCGCAATGGCAAGGAGCTCAGACGTTCGTCGTGACCGGAGACATCAACGCAGAGTGGCTGCGCGACTCGACAAATCAATTGACGGGCTATCAAACACTGGCAAAGAAGGACCCGGCTCTATACAGTCTCATCCTCGGAGCCATTCATACGCAGGCTGAGTTCGTCATCCAATCACCCTACTGCAACGCGTTCCAGCCCCCTCCGCCTAGTGGAATCCAAGCAACAAGCAACGGCCAACAGGATACTGTGCATCCAGCATATGAGCCCTCTGTTGTCTACGAATGCAAATACGAACTCGACTCCTTGGCCAACTTCCTCGCTCTGGGCAACGAATTCTACGAAAACACCGGATCCACCGAATTCCTCACCAGCCGGTGGTATCTCGCCCTGGACACTCTCCTGAACACCACGGACGCCCAGTCCCAGCCAACCTTCAACAGTAACCTTCAGTATGTCCAGAACCAGTACACCTTCCAGCGCCAGACAACCCTCGGCACGGAAACCCTCAATCTGGCCGGGATCGGGAACCCGCTCAACGGAGGCACCGGACTCATCCGCAGCGCATTCCGTCCCAGCGATGACGCCACTATCCTGGGCTACTTCATCCCAGCCAATGCCATGATGTCCGTGCAATTGAAGAAGACCGCGGATCTGATCCGCGCAGCTGGCGGCGACTCGACCCTCGCATCCAATCTCCAAACCCGCGGAGAGAACCTCGAGCAAGCCGTCCGCCAACACGGCATTTTCAACCACCCAACGTACGGCGATGTCTACGCTTTCGAAGTAGACGGGTACGGCTCGCGCATCTTCATGGACGACGCGAACATTCCATCCCTCCTAGCCCTGCCCTACTTAGGCTTCGTCGATAAGTCCGATCAAGTCTACCAAAACACCCGCAAGATGATTCTCGACCCTAACGGAAACCCATACTACCTCACTGGATCGGACTTTCACGGCATCGGTGGACCTCACAGTAAGCAATGCCCGAACCTTAGAATTTTGAAATCAGGACAGCTAACACAGACGCATTAGTTGGTCTCGAGAACGCCTGGCCTATGTCCCTGCTCGTGCAGGCATTGACTACCGACAACGTAACGGAGATCACCGATTCTCTAAACCTAGTCCGCAACTCCAGTCTCCTGGGTTTAGTCCACGAGTCCATCGATGTCAACAACATCAAATCATACACGAGACCGTGGTTCGCGTGGGCGAACTCTGTCTTTTCCCAGACTATATTGAAAGTCGCGGCTGAACAGCCTGAGGTTCTATTCGGAGATGGAGCGGAGCCGTATGTCATTTCTTAGATGAGGGCTATCATTTCACTTTGATTAGCATAGCGTGTGTATAGTGCGATGTGCTATAATATACCCGGCCTGTAGCTTGGGCTCCTTGAGATATCAGATAACAATATTAATATTTTAGTGAACATGAACATGTTGAACTTAACCTTCATTCCACACAATGCAAATTAAGTACTATAGTATGTATATATACGCTCCTTACAAATCATGCAACCCATTCATACAGTAAAAACCCTCACACCCCTCTATAAACTAAATCTACACCAACACCCTCCTCAACCCCTCCGTCCCACCCAGCACTCTCCTCCCCGTAACCGGACACCTCCCCTTCCCACTCTCCCACTTCCCACGTCTACTCCTCGACTTCTTCATCTCCTCCTCATCACCATCATCCCCACCCTTATGCTCCCCCTCACCCCCCTCCAAATCATCGTCCGCCCACGCCGCGCCCGCACCCTCCCCATTCATGAAATCCAACTGTCGCTGATGCTCCCCATTCAACCAGTGGAAAATACACACATAGCAGTAAACATACCCCGTCTGACACGCCGTAGGATTCGTAAGCGCATTCAAACAGATCGGGCACGCGGACGCGACATCCGAGTCTGGCGGGGGGAGTGGCACGGTGAAGATGGGTAGATAGGAAGTTGCTGAGATGGGGGGTTGGATGCGTGTGCGTGCTGGCGGTGTCGATTTGAGTGCTGATTTGAGGGTTGGGGATGATGGTTGCTGCTGTTGCTGTTGTTGTTTCTCTGCGGCAGCGGCGGCTGCTTTACGCTTCTCCGAGGGAGGCGTCATTCCTGCTGCGACGGGGGCAGGGAGGTCCAGGACCTCGGTTGCTTTGCGGGCGAGTTGGCGCGAGAAGTCACTTGCGTGCCACCATTCGAGGAACTTGAGGGCGAAGATCGACGCCGGGAGGAAGTAGCGGAGGGAGGTGAGGAGTTGGGGGTAGAGGTTCTGCGGGCTGAGGAGGCCCAGGAGGCCGGAGCCGGGGCGGGTGCGGGCGCCTGCGCCGCCGGGACCAGATCCAGGAGTGGGTTTAGGGTCGAGGATGGAGGCGATGGCGCGGTGGTCTGCGGAGCTGAGACGGCGGATGCGGGTGCCGATGAGCCAGAGGAAGGGGGAGGAGTACTTGGTGTTGTCGAAGAGGTAGGCGAGGTTGAAGGCGATGATGGAGAAGTAGTAAGCGGCGTTGACGGAGGGGTAGATGTTGCGGAGGAACCACTTGTAGTAGTGGAGGAGACGTTGGCGGATTGTTGGGTTTGGAGGGAGGTCGTCGCCTGGGTTGTAGCGAGGACCGCCGCTCATGATTAGGGATGCTTGTGGTGCGGCGTGGATGTCGTAGCCTTCGTCGAGCTTGCGCTTTAGGTAGGGGATTCCGACGAGGACGAGGAGGTTCTTCCAGACGTCGGAGGTGCGGAGCTTGAGGGCTTCGCGGACGGGGCCTGGGGCGCCGAGTTGGGCGCGAGGGATCTCGCCATTCTTGGTGAGGAGGACTCGTTCGCGTTTGAGCGAGTAGAAGTTCTCTGTGAAGGAGCCGCCAAAGGTGCGGAGGTAGTAGCGTTCGACGAGGAGGGAGAGGAGCGCGTAGATTTCGTCGTAGGAGTTGAGGATTCGGAGGAGGTATCGTGGATGACGGTGAGTCGCGACGGCGAGGATGTATCGGATTGAAGGGGGGAGAAGGTCGGAGAGCTGTTGTTCGGCGAGCAGCTCTGCGATGGGATGAGGGTTAGTCGAATGGTCTTTGAGATGGTTTGGGGTGAGCGATAAGGCACGTACCGAACAGCGATGGCTTCAGCTCATCGAATTCTTGCTGCAGACTGGGCAGGTATTCCATGATGGCAGCAGAACGCCAGTCATTGGCCCCTAGGTGGAAGAAGCAGTTGGGACGGGGGGATTGGGTGGAAGATGGAGAGAACGCGGAGGTGCAGCAGCTGCTGCGGTGGATGTCAATCCGATGGCGGCGAGTTGAGCCGAGGCTTATCGGCACGTCAGCCAGGTCCGGATCCACCGTCACATTCACATCCACTACTTCTACTTTACTGCGCAATAAGAGGGAATTGGGGTTGTGTTATTTACTAGTACAGTGTCTACTATTTACAATGACTTAAGGGGCATCATTTCAGCATCTTCATCTGGCATGCGTTCCAGAATCGGACCAGATTGCTCGTCGATCCTTCCGCGGCCTTTTGCACAATTTCGGGATCGGCAAGCAAAAGGCAGCGCTTGATATCTACCAGAAGCTCTCCCTCGAGGGGTATCGGGTTTTCCTCCCTCCTCATCATCGGGATCCATGTTGATACGCAATCCCGGGCACGGAGTTCATCTCCCAGATCAGCATGCAACCGGAACAACATCTTATAGTCAGCAGCGGTGCGCAGACTTCCATTGAGGGGACCCTTGCGCCACAACTTCCAAAAGCCATTGTAGTCGCCGTGCTGAAAGAGCGATAACATAAGGCTGCGGGCTTGCTCGGGTTCAAAGGGTAAGTCAAGGGTATCGATTAGGCGAGACACCCGATAAAGAGCGCTTTTATTTTCAGCCTGTGCATCATTTGCTCCGTCTGGTACAGTGGTGGACGGGGAACTGGCAACGGCTCGATAAATCATGTCGAACACTCTCATGTTGACAACATTGGTGCCGCGCAGAGATAGATGTTCAAGCACAAGAAGAGCTAATTCCTGGTCCGCTTCCGGAACTTGCCCTGCAATGTCCTCAGGGCTAGTTCCTGCTAGTCGGGGAGATAACAAGGCTGAAACAACTGAAAATGCTAGATCATCAGATACTGAACAACCAGCGCAAGTACATTCTGTGAACGCTGAATATAAACCCCGCTTTGTATATCCCGGGTGCTGTCTGGAAATCGCGTTGCAGAATAGGACAAGACGGGCTATTGCTCTCTCTGCCGCCGTGCTGATTGATAGCAGATCATGGAATAGGCGCATGAATAGTGTAGAGTCATTATCTTCCGGGCCCTCTCCTAGTTCGATCCTGGCCTGAACGTCGGATAGTTTTGAGAGGTGGTCAAATAGTGCATCCATTGAGCGGGTTGTCTTTCCATTGTCGCTATGGTCATGGTCTCGAAGTAAAGACGAAGGCTGGGAATCCAAAGTTACTTCCGTATCTTTTGCATGGATTGCTGCACGGTCGAAGTGTTGGCTTGCGGGGCGACGGTTGGTGTGAAGCAGCCTCTTCTGTCCGAACAATGGGCTAGTGGGAAACCTGGAGGCATGGCCGAACTCACGGTCAGATGGTGATACGTTTATCGAATTGGAAGCACGAACCTCTTCGGAAGGTGCGGCTGAATTAACCTGGGAAATCCTTTGTTTCTCTCTTTCGGATCGGTCCAGCGCCTTCTGCCAAAGGCTTTCAAGATCGACTTCGGCTCTCTTTTCTTCTGTGAACATCTGCACAACAACCCTAGTGCCGGTGGCAGTGTGACCAAACCCCTCAAATCTATAATTCTCATCCTTCTTGACTGGCGTTTCCTCTACCACACCGGCATTGACACAGATCCAGCCTGTCGTGATCCCATCGTCCTTTTCGTCAAACATAGTACCGGACCTGCTGGCGAGCCTAGCACGCCGAGCTTTTCTCCGGAGCTTGATCTTCAACTCATTTCGACCCAGGAGTCCATCAGCGTAGGGAGACAGCTTGTAGGTACTTCTCAACCAGCGGCAAAGACGATCTGCGGACACATTCAAGTGCTTGACACTGCGAGCAGTTCCAATTATCATAATCACGTTGGCACCAAGAGCTGGCGGAGTTTCCAATCCGCGCAAATCAATCAACTTCAGTTCATCAAGACCAACATCCTTGAACACATAGTCGAGGAGTGCAGGGAGGATAGCTGGAGGGTTCTCTGGCAATTCGGGAATCTGATCTCGCGAAGTTGTCTGCCTTGATTCGGGCACAGGTGCTTCTTCCTGTAGATACCATGGGATGTGAGGGGTGCTCTCCGACGCGGAGTTCGCTGTCAGTTCTTCTTTCAATTCAGATGCCGGTGGCACTGCAGAGGACGAGGATGAAGGCTGCTCAGAACGGAGGCAAGATACTGAAGCAAAAGCTCGAGTTACTGGGTGAATGGTCGACCGGTATAACGCGGCGCGAGAGACGGAAGGAGGCGCGCGAAGTGCTGTCCTGGAGGACCAGGCAGCTCTCAACAATGCCCTATTCATGATGGTCAATAATGCAGAAGTAATGGTACCAAACGAGAGCTCGACAGCTTTCTTCGCAGTGGCGACAAGCAGCGCAATTGGGGAAGCTGCTGAGAGGCAAACAAGACAAACGGTGACTAAGGATGGAGTCAGCAAGCAAACAGAGCAAACAAAAAGTTCTCGCGGCGGGGCAAATATTGATCCCCATGACAAATCTAAATTTCGCTTCATCATTCAGCGAGCAGGAGTCGCCGGCTCTTCTATCTTTCCTCTCTTTACCCTTTTGTTTCTCTGGTGTCAGGCCTCATCCCTGCTTCCAACATGTCGATGGACCTGGATGCGCCGGTGCCTTTCGAGGCCCCGCAGGAGCAGATCGCTGCGACGTGAGTTACCCCGCAAATCGAAAGAAAAATTTCCCTGTAAACATACATGAGGGCAATATTGATCGGGGACATTAACTAACAACATACGCTTTTTAGTATCCTTTGTTGCAACTGTGGCGCGCCTATCGATGGAACAACATCCGCTGGTGCCCTTTGTCAGGACTGTGTGAAGTTGACGGTTGATATCTCCCAAGGCATCCAGAGAGAGGCAGTTCTTCACTGCTGCAAGGACTGCGAGCGGTGGCTCCAGCCCCCCACCAGCTGGGTTAGTGCTGCGCTCGAATCGAAGGAACTTCTCGCACACTGCTTGCGCAAGCTCCGCGGCTTGTCCAAGGTCCGCATTATCGATGCCAGCTTTATCTGGACCGAACCCCACTCGAAACGTATCAAGGTCAAGATCACCATCCAGCAGGAGGCTTTCCAGGGCACCATTGTGCAGCAGACTTTCGAGGTTGAATACGTT